TTTTTAAGATTCTATTCTAAAAGAGGCATAAACTTTCCATGTTAGATCTCTGGGGCCACTTCCCTCAGGAAAAGGGTTGGGTTGGAACTGAGAAAGAAACCCAAGAGAAAGAACAGACATCTCAAGTTCTGTCCACAAGGAAATGGCAACTTCTAGGGCATTAGGATGTATTTTTCACAAGGCCAATTTTTCTCCTGGCCTTTCAGGTCTTTTGGTCCTTATTCATCGGTTCAACAAAAATAAGCTGGTGGAGAAAAACGTCAAGAACTCAGATGTCTCTGGACCACATCAGCTTTGCTCACTTCCCACTTACTGGAGTGACATCACCTTTTAAACTTTACCTCTTGTGGAATTTTTTTTTTCTTTTTCTTTTTCCAAGGCGCTGGTTTTAAACAGCCTGCACACAAATTCTGATTCATTACAAAGAATTGTTTTTCAGCCAGTGGCTTTCCGAGACATTGTCCCCAATGGGACTGTAAAAGCTGAATTTGCAGCAGGCTAGAAGCCAGACGTTTATAACTAGATACGAAAGCCTGAGTCTGTTCTCCGTGATGTCCTTGAGAGGAACAATGCTGCAGATGAAATTCCAGACCCAGGCAGGCAGGTCCCTGCCTGCTCTGCTTTTTGCAGCAGGAGCCAAAGCCCAGCGGTTGAGGCTGCCAGGGGCTGGGAGGAGAGGAAAGGGCGGAGTTGCTGTTCACTGGGTATAAAGTTTCAGTTTTGCAAGACGAGTAAGTTCTAGAAATCTGCTGTGCAACATTGTGCTTAGAGTTGGCAAGCTATACTGTGCACTTAATATTTTGTTGGGGGTAGATTTCATGTTACGTGTTTTTTACAACTACAAAAATAGTGTATCTGGGCTTGTAGCTTCTCAAGTTTATAAAATGGTCTCTTGCATGTACTTCTGGAAGGCAGCTTGCCTATTAAAATAAATCTGACTCTCCAAAGGGTTGATTGATAGGGGTTTAAATAGATGGTAGTTTTCTGCCTTAAAACAAAGCAAAACATCAAATCCCAAATTCTCTTTTATCAACAGACTCCCTGGAGGTCTTCAGCATGTGACAGTTAGGCCCAGCATCCCACGTCTTTATCAGAACAGAGGTTCCCAGTTTCTCTATGAACATCTTGATATTTTTATTACTGAAACGTCATGTGGCACACTATTCTCAATTTTTTTGAGGAAACTCCATACTGTTTTCCACAGTGGCTGCACCAATTTACATTCCCACCAGCAGTCTACAAGGGTTCCCTTTTCTTCACATCTTCGCCAGCATTTATTATCTCTTATTTGCTTCATGATAGCCATTCTAACAGGTGTGAGGTGATATCTCACTGTGGCTTGTATGTGTATTGATTTGAGATACATGCACCCCCAAGTTCACTGCAGCATTATTCACAATAGCCAAGACACGGAAACAACCTAAGAGTCCACTGATGGATAAATGGATAAATAGTGTGTGTCTATCTATGTATACATACATAGATAGACACACACACACACACACTGGAATCTTATTCAGCCATAACAAAGAGAAGGAAATCCTGCCATTTGCAACAACGTGGATGGACCCTGAAGGCATTATGCTAAGTGAAATAAGTCAGACAGAGAAAAATAAATACTGCATGATCTCACTTGTGTGTGGAATCTAAAAACAGCTGAATTCATTAAAAAAAAGTAAAATAGTGGTCACCAGGGGCTGGGGATGAGGGGATACAAGAGACATTGTTTAAGGTACAAACTTGCAACCGGTAGTTAAATAAGTCTTGGAGATCTAAGGCACAGTACAGTGAATACTGACAACAGTAATGTATTATAATCATCAGACTTGCTAAGAGACCAGATCTTCATTATTCCTACCACAAAAACGAAACTGTAATTATGTGAGCTGATAAAGGCACCAGCTTATGCTCCAAGGGCAACCATACTGCAACATATAAATGTATCAAGTCAACGTGTTGTACGCCTTAAATTTACACAATGTTATATGCCAAATATATTACAATTTTAAAAAGATAACCTATAAAATCACGCATTTCATTGCTCTGCATGTAGGGGGCACTCATAGAGATGCCTGGCAGAAAAACAGACACATGGATCAACGGAACAGTATTGAGAGCCCAGAAATAAAACCCACAAATCTATGGATAGGTAATCTTCGACAAAGGAGCCAACAACATAGAGTGGAGAAAGGAGAGTCTCTTTAACAAATGGTGCTGGGAAAACTGGACAGCCACGTGCAAAAGAATGAAAGTAGACCATTGCCTTACACCATACACAAAAATCAACTCAAAATGGATTTAAGATTTGAATGTAAGAACTGAAACCATAAAACTCCTAGAAGAAAATATAGGCAGTACGCTCTTTGAGATAGGTCTTAGCAGTGTCTTTTCGAATACCACATCTACTCAGGCAAGAGAAACAAAAGAAAAAACAAACAAATGAGATTACCTCCAACTGAAAAGCATTTGCAAGGCAAAGGAAACCATGAACAAAAGGAAAAGACAACCCACCAACTGGGAGAGAATATTTGCAAATCAGATATCTAACAAGGGGATAATTTCCAAAATATATAAAGAACTCATACAACTTATCAACAACAAAACAAACAACTGGATCAAAAAATGAGCAGAGGATATGAACAGACATTTTTCCAAAGAAGATTTTCAGATGGCCAACAGGCACATGAAAAGATATTCAACATCACTAATCATCAGGGAAATGCAAATCAAAACTACAATGAGATATCACCTTACACCTGTCAGAATGACTATAATTACAAAGACAAAAAATAACCAATTTTGGAGAGGATGTGGAGAAAAGGGAACTTTCATACACTGCTGATGAGAATGCAAACTGGTACAGCCACTACAGAAATAGTATGGAGATTTCTCAGCAAGTTAAAAATAGAAATACCATATGATCCAGCTACCCCACTACTGGGTATTTATCCAAGCACATGAAATCAACAATACAAAGAGATATATGCACCCCTATGTTCACTGCAGCATTATTCACCACAGCCAAGACTTGGAAGCAACCCAAATGCCCATCTACGGAAGGATGGATAAAGAAGACGCGGTGTATATGTACAGTGAAATACTACTCAGCTATACAAAAAATAAAATCGTCCCATTTGGGACAACATTGATGGACCTTGAGGATATTATACTAAGCTAACTAAGTCAGACAGAGAAAGACAATTACCATACGATTTCACTCACATGTGGAAGATAAACAAACAAACAAGGGATAAAGAGAAAAGATTAGTGGCTACCAGAGGGGAAGAGGGTGGAAACAAGGTGAAAGGGGTAAAGGGGCACATATGTATGGTAACGGACGGAAACTAGACTTTTGGTGGTGAACACAATGCAGTCGATACAGAAGCCTAAATACAGTGATGTACACCTGAAATTCACAGTGTTATAAGCCAATGTGACCTCAATAAAAATAAATAAGTAAATAAATAAACAAAAAGATAAACAAAAACAAAGACAAAGCTCCTTTTCTTTCTCTGAGGCAATACGTGAAACAGCCTCACACTGAGACCACAGGGTATATCTTTTCTTCCTTAACTTTCTTGGGACAAGGTTATCAAATCCTTTTAACAAGAATGCAAAATGACCTCGGATTCCAGGAAAGTAAGAGATGGCCATGTGGTTAGAAAAAAGAAAGAAAAAAATCAATGAGGGCATCCAACAAGGTTGAGAAGAGGGAAGAATTTAGCTCCATTGCACGCCCACCCCCCCCCCCCGGACCTCTCCTCATCATCCCCCAAAACATGCATGCCCACCCAAGCACACTCCCTCTCCCAAAGTAGAATGTCACCCCCTAAGCTCGGAGCAGCCCCCACCTGGAAGATTTGGAACCAGTCCCTAAATTGCTATGCTGGCCTGTGGGGAAGTTCCCAAGCGATTTCTATGAGGCCGGTTGGACAAGCTTCGTCACCAGGTAAACAAGCTCCTATGTGACCCTCTGTTCGGTATGATGTTCTAGTACCCAACTATAGCAAGTGCTATATGAGTGTCACAAATTACACACTGATTGACTTCAGTGATGAAGGCAGAATGTTTCTAGCAAACTTCAAAGGTGACTTGGAAAGTTGGGTGTGAAGCTGCGTAAGTAATGAGAATGAGCAATCAAATATTTTACTCATTGATAATGATGATGTGGCACATTTTCAACTAGTTGCAAAGGTGATTTGCAAAGTCATCCTCAGGCAATAGATTAGAAACTGGCAAAGCATGCTTTGAGGACCAAATCTGGCCCTCCAACCTGTTGTTATAAATAAAACTTTACTGGAACACAGCCACACCCATTCATTTACATACAGTCTAGGATTGTTTCTACACTCTGTGCAACAGACACTGTGTCCCTTAATGCTGAAAATGTTTACTATCTGCCCCTTTGCAGAAAATGATACAATAATACTGTTACATTTGGAATGTATTATTCCAAATTTGGAATATTTGGAAGTTGCTAAAAGGACAGACTTTAAAAGTTCTCAGCACAAGAAAAAAAACTAGAGTTCTTAGGTGATCATTTCATAATGTATGCAAATATCCAATCGTTGTACAGCTGAAACTAATATAATGTTACATGTCAATTAAACCTCAATAAGAAAATAAACTGTTGGGGCTGGCCCGGTGGCGCAGCGGCTAAGTGAGCATGTTCCACTTTGGCGGCTCGGGGTTCGCTGGTTTGGATCCAGGGTGTGGACATGGCACTGCTCATCAAGCCATGCGGTGGTAGGCGTCCCACATAGAAAGTAGAGGAAGATGGGCACGGATGTTAGCTCAGGGCCAGTGGTCCTCAGCAAAAAGAGGAGGAGTGGCAGCAGATGTTAGCTCAGGGCTAATCTTCTTCAAAAAAATGAAAAAATTAAAAAAAAAAGAAAAGAAATTGTTAAAAAAAAAGAAAAAGACTGCCAACCCTTGGACTAGATGAATGCAGATAAACCTACAGCTTGTCCTGTGACAGAAGAAGCAGACCAGAATCAGACTTCTTAAAAGATACAAAGTTTTATTAAACAAACCTGGAATCAATAGTCTTATTACATAAATTAGACAGCAGTAAAATTTTCCTAGAGTATATATACAAATCACAGTGATTTTCATTGTGCAAGGAATTGACAGGAATAGAAACAGGCTTTTTTTCTTCTTCCACATGAGAAGCTGGGATCACCCCGCAGGGACCCATCCCAGGGGCGCACCACACCTGCAAAGGCACTCCATCTTGTGTCTGTGACACACCCGACAGCAGTCACATGGCCCTGGAGGCGCGTGGGCAACTGGGCCAGGCTGCCCATAGTACGGCGCAAAAACGAAGGAAGCTGTGACAGCTCTGCAGAGCTGAGAAACAGTCTCAGAGGACAAGGGAAGACTGCGTGTCCAGTGGCTTCAAATCCCATCTGGTAAAACACACACTTAATGACTTTAACTTAAATAACAAGTGTCCACCACAGAAGATCAAACACAAGCGCGACAGAATATCTTAAAACACAATAATTTATAGCAAACTGTTACAGAGCATTTCTCCTTTATTACGAAGGGCTGTTCCCTTGGATGCAAGCCCACAGGGTGTGCAAAGCACACTTGCTATGAAGACGTTGTGGTGGGTAAAAACAACCCTCAAACACCCCACCTCCACCAAGACACACACACGCGCACACACACGTCCCCCAAACGAGCTATCCAAATACATTATTAACACAACTATTCATGTGCTTTCCTTTTAGTTTTTTGGTAAGTGGACATCATCAACTCAACCTGGATTTATTCAGAAACGGGGACACACGGTACAATACACGGAACTTGCCCAACGTGTGTAAAATACACGTTAGGGAGATGGACCAACGAGAGAAGCACAATCTACGTGTCTCTACAGATCTCTACAATTGGAGCAATCGAGGGCTTCTGTGATGGTGTTAATTTGGGGATGCAAAATGAACTGGCCGGAAAAAAAAAATCCACCCAATTCTTTTCCTGCACTAGTAGCTGGAGTGAGGATTTTGATGTCCTAATGGGATCTGACGCAGCCTGAAGTGCTCAGATGGGTCAGCAGCCCTTGGTGCCTAAAGAATGGTGCACTGGGGTCTTTAGTTAACAGCATTGAGCCATATTTTCACAGTTCAAGTGGTCCAAAATCTAGAGGCAACTTAGGTCAACGTAGAAATGGCAAATGCATCCCACATAACTCAACTGTTTAGCACGACTGGTGATTCTGTCATCGGTAACAAGTTAGACTTTAAGTATAGATGCCTAGAATGAAACAAAACATACTAGATACTTATGAACAGGTGATGTGGAACTGCTCCACAGGCAGAGATAGGAAGCAGAGTTTTAAATCACTGAGATGGTGTGAAGTGGGCACGCGTATCTTGTTGCTGGGGCTTCTTGCATATTCTGTTGTGTTGACAGCAGAAATTACGATTTGCCCGTTGCTGCAACAGATACGTTTATGCTGAGCAGGATTCTGACTTCTGCCATGGAGGAAGTGGAAGTCAGCAATGCAAATTGTATGATATGCTGTATGACCAGGGTGATTTTATTTCCTTCTTATCTTTACAGACGCACATCAAAGCAGGCTTGTGACATTCCCCTTAGGAAAACATGACCCGCCTCAGTATACTACTTCTTGCAAAATATGCATTGCCTAAACATTTTTTTTAAATAGTGTTCTTATTTAAGAAAACTGCCAACACACAAAATTGCATAAAACAAATCTATAATTTTTTAGATCTGAATTTTGTGATTATTTCCATGAACTTTCTTCAAAGCTTTGCACACTGATGATATTTGATCAGATACATGAAAATTTCAGAATGTCTCCACTGAATAACTATTTTTCAATTACATGTGGTGACTGTTTCATGTGTTTGGGACTCATTTTGATTAAACCAGTCTTTGCACTATATCACACCACTTAATTTATAGCCCAGCCATGGGCAGTTAACACACGGCATGTACCACTTTGCATAGTGAAATGGGCACAATCGTCCAAGGTGAATTTAACACCATTAGGTATTCTTGGAATTCCTTTTAATTTTTACTTTGTTTTACATGGCCGATGGCTTATGACAACATTTTTAAGGATTACATTAATGTAATCAATGCATTCCAACATTTGTTTTTCCTGCATATTTGTTCAAAATTAAGGCAATGTATCTCAAGGCTTTCTTGATGCTATTTTCATCTCATATATTAAATTATGGACAGTAAGAATTAAATCTAAAAATATGCATATGGGTCCATGTGTCTATGTACAATGTTTCATTGCATTCAAGGTGATTCATTTATTTTTTATTTTTTTAAGCAGAAGCCTCCACAATAATGATAATTTATCTTTATAGTGAGAGGATGTGAAACATGTTTTTTTCCTTCTAGGTCCATACCTCAGTGCACAAAGTCACTTTGCCAATTTATCCTTCTAACGTTCAATGACGAAATCATTCAGAAATCGCACTCTAAATTTTTAGCCCATTTTGGCCCGCCACTTAATCCCAACAGGATGGTGACCGAGCAGTACAGACTGAAAATACAATTCTGTTGGAACACTTACAGAGCGCACCCTTGGAAAATAATTTTTCATTGAGTTACTCATCGTAAAGAGTGTATTTTTTACTAAATCTTGTACTCACTCTCACCAACTGAGTTGATTTTAATTTTAATTCAAAGAACAGGGCACTTATGAGAAGGGAAGGGAATATTTAGCATCTTCCATTTCATTGTCTTTTAAAGCTTTCCTAGGTGTGAATTCTCTTGATTCATCCTTCAATATACAGAGCCCTTGCCTTCTGATTTGTGAGTGGAATCTGGCCAAATCTGATGAGCATTTCCTTTGACATTTTGCTACTTAAAAAAAAATGTATGACTTTGCCAAACGGCAGCTCTCCACACCCCTAGCTGTGCCTGCAGAAGAGAAAGGGAGCCAAGCACTATGGGAAGAAATGCCTTCCTGGACACGGCATGGAAAAACCACATCGGAGGGTAAGAACCTGCCAGGTGACTCAAGAAAAGCAGAGCTGCAGAGGCTGAGAGGCACCCAGTCTTCCTTCTCCCTGCACCCATTCTCCCCAACATACCCCCAGGTCAGACTCTGCCCCCATCCTGGCTGCCGAAGGAGCTGGACCTTTCTGGGAAGAGCATGAGGGAAAAAGGAGGTTGAGGGGGTGATCTTGGAGGTCTGTGAAGGTGTACCCCTGAAGACTCTAGAATCTACTTAAATGCACAGACCTCCACGGGGAGGTCATGGATGAGCCCTATGACCAGAAACACAACAGATTCGTGCAACTCTGTTTTTCGAGCTGAGACAGAATCAACAGAGAATGGCAGCCCGTTGAGATATTTACAGCCAAGTTCAGAACCAGGAAGGAGAAGCCTAAGAGAGAAGGAAGTGAATTCTGGGCAGCACAGACTCCAAGGACCTCTATCCACGCCCTGTTTCTGGGAAGTCCCGTTATTTAGCAATATACTCCTCGTGGCCCACTCCACATCTGGCTTTCATTAAGTCAGTCCTTAGGGGAAGATGATGCAGAGTACTCTTCAGAGTATCTTCATGATCAGGTCCAAAGACAAAAAAAAATCTCACCCACTGATAATTCTGCAGAAGCCCACCCGATTTACGAGACGAGAGTGTGTGAGATGGACTCAGGCTGACCCTTTACAAGGAGAAATGAAACTAAGCAGAAACAATCTGCATGCTTACGTCCTAGAGAGCATTTGTTTCTTACTTTTCCCAAAACGAAAGGTAAAAGAAAACGTTTGCATGAAGGTAGTCCGTGGGACTGAGCCGGTATAGAAAGTCATTTGTCAGCTTTGGGAGGTGTATATTGTTCAAGATATTCAAACTGGAATTTTAATAGGTAGCCACCTCTCTCCAGAGTACAAAATTTTTGAATGCAATACAGAAAATTTCCTGAATGCATTTCTTTCCTTGAACAACTTTTATAGTCATTGGCTCGTCTTGGATTAAAATTCAAACCCACATCTCCTGCCCTCTCCTTCCAGTTTCAAGACCTAAAGTGACCAGACAGGAAGCACTAAAGATATTGGATGTGGACCACCACAAGATATTTTCTTCACAAATAACTATAAAATGCAGATAAGATGACAAAAAAAAAAATGCACACGTCATAGTTTTTAGATTTTGTCCCCAAGAGAACAGATTCTTGAAAAAAAAAATTTGAAAAATAAAAACCATAGGCTCTGCAAAGTATGAACAGTTACATCACTGCATAATTCCTGTGCGCCAGTCATATCGTCTTTTTTACACACGCAACTGCACACGCACATACACGCAATCTGTGGTTCTAATGGAGCACGTTCAGATCAAACTTATAAAGTTGAGTCTATGAGAAATACCCAGATATCACAGTAGGAACACACGCTAGAAGGTCACATAAAATCTACAATGGAACAATTTTTCATAACTTCCTACTGTGCAGTAGATTTCCAGTTGCTTAAATAACTCAGGGTCCATGAATTTCTCCAACCTCTTTATATACATCCGGGCGTGGATAACGGTGGAAATGTCCTCATCTCATCAAGAAGACGCTTCTTCAGGTCTGCTTATGAGCAGTTCCTCATCCCAGGCAGGCTCAAAATCCTGTTTCTGGCACGAAATAAGACAATGGAGTTTGTCAGTTTCTAGCTAAGTGGGTAAATTTTGTAATCATCCTCATAACACACAAGAAACCGAACGTTCCTTTGAAATTCTTCTTGCAAAGATCCACAAGGCTGAATTCTAAGTGGGGGGAGATGCCTAATAAAAAAAACTGAACAGGATTTTCAAGATGGGTTTCAAACGTTAGGCGATCTCGTCCTCCACAGAATTATCCATCCTCATTCATGGGAAGAAGGGAGATTAATTGCCAAGGAAGACTGGATCCTCGTCTCAATTTGCTTCGCCGCCGTGAACCTACAGCTAGACAAAGGCTTTATTATGACGCAAAGTAAGGTGAGTTTTCCCCTGCCAGTTGTCTAGCGTCCTCCTCCACCTGCTGAAAAGCACACAGGGTCACTCAGGGTCACTCACAGGTGAACGTCTTTGAGTCACACAGTCCACAGTCTGCTCTGGAGGGCCGGAACTAAGCTGAACTGGTGTCTCATCTATGGGAGAAGATTTTGCATCACGACAAAATATCTTCTTACCCAAGAGCATCACACCTAATCATCCTTGGCTGAAAATGCCACACCGTTTTTCCACTTCACGTGCAAATTACTGTCAGCAAAATGACTGAGATAGGTGAAAATAGTAAGGTGCCTGGTTTTTCGAAGATGGGCGCAAAATCCAAATCACATGAAAAAATAGAAAGCAACGTGGTCATGAAATGATCTCTTGATTTCCAAGGCTTCATCAAGAATATCATTCAAACAGTGCCCCCGCCATTGGCCAAAATACATTAAAAATGACTCCACTAGGAAAAATCCTATTGAAATACACATTCCCAAGAATATAACACTGCTGTGAGAAAGGTTATTTGTATCCGTGGAATCTCCTTACAGGATAGCTTGGGTAGTTTTTTGTAAAAAATATTATTCACTGAGGATAAGACAAAATGCACTGGATGGCAGCTCTTTGTTAAATAATTCCACACTACCTCTATTAGAAAAAGGCTCTCTTCTTCTGGCTTACCAAGAAAGTGTTGTTCACGAGAAGACAAAACAAGTCTTTTAATCATCTAAATGACTGGACAAAAATAATTCATAAAATGTTATGGGCAAACCCGACAAAATCAAAGCAACTGATTAGACCAGAAAAAAAAAAAAAGTGAACAGATTGAGGAACACCTTATGATTTTTAATACCCATAAGTGGAATTCAGGAGCTCTGCAGAAGCCGGAACAGCTGAAGACACTCCTCATTTTAAGAAAACTGGTCACCATCATGAAAGCGATCATTGTGTGTTGAAAGATTAAAATGCGCCAAGCAGACATGATACTTTCTCATGGATACAGCCAACTATTTCTCTATTACGTTTTTCCTCAATCATTTTAATTTCATCCAGTTTTCCTCTCAGTGTTTCCATGGAAATGGCAGCAGAGAGTGGCGGCTTCCCCTGTGCCGTGAATTCCTCCCTCCCAGATCTCAGCAATGGTGTCCCATTGCCAATGGTGTTGACGAGACAATTATTTTCCCCCTCCTCGTAAGTGCCATTAGGGAAATAAAAATGGGAAAAACAAGATATATCAAGGAGCAGACATCTCACTGGCAATATCTGTAACCAAGTGATTTAGAATGGGGGAGTACCTGAAAGAGCTTAACTACCCATATTAAAAAAAAACTAGACCTTCAAAGTCACAGAGTCACAGACTCTATAGTCAGAGTCACAGGCCTTTAAAAGGTTCAAAAAATAACAGACTACTCAAAATCACTTGTTTCACATCTCAAATTAAGCTTAGCAAATTTCACGAGGCATTCTCCGGTATGGTTACTTTTTACCAAAAAGAGACCCAAAACCCTTTTGAAAACACTTGGTAAGTGTTGTAAGGGAGCTAGTCTGGAACTCGGGGGTTCTGGAACACAAGAACTCAGGGTTTCCTACCCAAACAAAGTGTGTCTCTCCAATGCTTAGGCACATACAAATCTCTAGACATAGATTCTGTCCCTGTGGATCTGTTTGGGGACTGAGATGCTGGAGCTGATCTGATGCTGCTGGGCTACAGTGCACACCTTGAGTAACACGCTCTGGGGGGTTTATTAGACTGACACGTGGAAGGAAGGACTGTCTGCTCCATCGCTTGTGTCCCAACGGGTGAGGGAAGCCCCACTTGGTCAACGCAATATCCCCTTGACACGACGTCCTGTCAACCTCGCTGATTTTCAATTACTAAGAATAAAAATATACCTTCCGGATGTGGATCCCTGTCCTCAGAAATTCTTGAAGACTTCCAAATCTTTCGGCGACACCGGAGGAGCTGTGTTCCAGTCATTCTCGGGATAAGCTTCGAAGTTGGAGGTATCGCCCTCACCACATACTTTGGGCACGATGGGGGGCTACGGGATCAGACGAGACAAGAAGGCATAGTGAGAAAGTAACAGGGCACACCTGGATGATACGTACATCCCTCTACTTCACATAAAAATGGAAATGATTAAAAAAATAAAAAACATGGAAAACCTGGAACTAAGATATTGCAAATGAGGGATCAACCATCAGTCTAAGGAATGTTCATGTAGTATGAGGAATTAAGAGAAGAAGAAGGTACCCAGGACTTGCTTCTGAAATTCTAAAATGCAGAACCACATGGATTGTTTGTTAAATGCAGATTCCCAGGCCTGCACCAAGCTGACCAATTCTGATGTGGCTGGTCCAGCGTCTAGACTTTGGAAAATTCCAGAAAGATGGAAAGAGAACCAGATTCAGCTTTTATCACTGATGCCAAGATTCAATCCTGCATCAATAAAATGAGGCCACGAGGACTGAGAAGGGGGTCAGAGAACTTTTCCTGTAAGTAAATATTTTTGGTTTTGTGGGCTGTACAATTTCTGTTGTGACTGAAAATTCAACAGTGCAACACGCTGTGACTGTAGGGGGAAAGCAGCCATAGAAAATATGTCAATGAATGGGTGTCGCCAATAAAACTTTATTTATAAAAACAAGTGGGGCTGGATTTGGCCCACAGGTTGTACGTTGCTGACTTCTGGATAGATTATTGCCCTACCCACGTCCAATTCAAAGATTCTGTAATGCAGGCAGATAGCAACTAGTTTTCTCTATTCCTATGAAACCATTATGTTTTGTTGAGAGCCTGCAACGTGTGTGGTGAGCACCACCCATCTCGCCAGCCCTGCAGGACTGATAAAAACCTGGATGTTTCACAAGTGACTTGAGGCTCAGTGCTGTTAGAATCTTCAAGTCCAGTCCAGGACGAAGACCTAGATTTGTCCCAAATCTGTCTCAAAGCCCTGTGCTTTCTAAGAGACCACAGCAAAGTAGATGCAGCTAGAGCATCCTGACAGAGAACCAGCACGTAAGTGGATTCCACAAGGAGTATTTTAATTTCTGTGTTGACACAGAAACAGGTCAAGTTTAATGAGAAGTATCCTATGTTAAAAAAAAGAAAACCTTCTTGTCACTGCGATGTGATACGCTCCATCAGCAATTACAGTCTGTACATCAAAGCACAAACTGTATTGAGTGGTCAGGAGGAACGTCAAGTCTCAGAAACAACACAGAACTTCAGGTGAAGGCTGTCACATTCCGAGGTGACTTAGAAATATCACGCCATGAAGTCGACACAGTAAAGTGTGTACTTGATACCCACTCAGGACAACTTCCATTACAGAATGGTCCAACCCGCATGTGAATATATCCTGTGTTGGTTCCGTGAAAGACTATAAAGGTTTATAAAGATTTAAAAAAATCATATGGGGGATGGACAAAAGGGTTAGGGGCACGTGTAGATGGAGACAGAGAAAAACTAGAACTATTGGTGGGGCTGGCCCCAGGACTGAGCGCTTAAGTGCACGCACTCCACTTCGGGGACCCAGGGTTCGCCGTTCCAATCCTGGGTGCAGACATGGCACTGCTCATCAAGCCAAGCTGAGGTGGCGTCCCACATAGCACAACCAGAAAGACCTACAACTAGAATATACAACTATGTACTGGGGAGCTTTGGGGAGAAAAAAAAAGGGGGGAAGACTGGCAACAGATGTTAGGCTAATCTTCCTAAAAATAACAAAAATAGTAAAGTTCACATAAATCTTACATGTTAAAAAAAAAATAAAAGAAACTAGACTATTGGTGGTGAGTACGATGCAGCCTATATAGAAGCTGATATATAATAACATACAGCTGAGGGGCAGCGCAAGGGTGTAGTGGTTAAGTTCACGTGGTCCACTTCGGTGGCCCAGGATTCACCAGTTCAGATCGTGGGTGCAGACCTACACATTGCTCATCAAGCCATGCTGTGGCAGTGTCTCACATAGAAGAACTTGAAGGATGTACAACTAGGATACACAACTATCTACTGGGGCTTTGGGTAGGTGAAAAAAGAGGAAGATTGGCAACGGATGTTAGCTCAGGGCAAATCTTCCTCACAAAAAATAAAAAAATAATGTACACCTGAAATTATACAATGCTATAAACCAATATGACTTCAATAAAATAACTTTTTAAAAAAAATCAAAGAGTAACTTGAATAGTGTCATTTCCTTTTGTCTTTATGCCTCCACCCAATAAATGAGCTATTTCTATAAACCAGGCACCGTGAGTGAACAGAAGGGGCACGATTCTGGCCTTCAGGAAACTTCTGGCTCAGTAATGGCTCTCATGCAGTGTCTCAATCTTGGCTGCACGCTGTGATCCCCTGGCAAACTTATAAAGTTATGAAAATGAAATTACACAGAGACACCTCTTCCTGACCATCATTTTGGCAAAAAGGCAAAAGTTGCACAACTCACTGCTCTTGAGGCTGTGGGGAAAGAGGCTTTCTCAAAACATTTCCCCCGGAATTGCAAAAATATGCCATTTCTAAGGAGGAGTATGCGGCATCATTACCAAAATTTCAAATGCCTCTATTTTGACCCAATGGGCTCATTTCTGGAAATTCATTTTCACGCAAATGGAATGGACAGGATTATTCTTTGCAGTAGAAGATTGGAAACAACACACGAAGGAATTATCATGTCGTTTACAAAGAATAAGAGAGCTATCCAGGTATGTGGAAAGATCTCCAGGTTGTACGGTGAAGCGAAAAAAGCAAGACTGGAATATTGCATGTATGACACTAGGTTTTGTGTAACAATGGGGAAAAGATAAGACTATGTATATCCACACGGGTTTATATCAGCCTAAAGAAACTCTGGAAGGATACACAGAAAAATCTAATAAACATGGGTACTTATAAGCGGCTGGGAGGGGACAGAGCAAAAGACAGTGAGACTTGTCAATGCATGTCTTTTAATATTGATTTGGCTTTTGAACAGTGCAAATATATGACCTATTCAATTTTTTTAAAATAAGTTAATTTAATACAATAAAATACTTGGACATTAAAAGCAATTCATTGACATCAGAGGTCTGGGTTGACCCCTACAGTCTGGGCAGGAGCCCAGGTACCAGCATTTTTAAAGTGTGTCCATCAACTATGAAGGGCACAGTTGAGAACACAGCTATTGAGGACTCCTGTCAAAAACACATTCAGTTCGAAGAAAGATGAGCCACAGAATATTCTCCATCTAATCGAACGCCATCACTGTGCAATATCCGTAAGTGCTGGACACATGCCCTACCTGTGTTATTCCACATGCCATCCCCTGTTAGAAAGGAGGGGAATGAGACTCATCATGGTCCTAGAGCTAGGGAGGGATGGAGCCAGGTCTCAAAAAGTCCGACCACAAAAGCCCCATCCAGGTGCCTCTTTAGCGCTAAGACATCCGCTAAATAGGGAACTTGGCTCATTAATAATTCGAGATGATCAGGTGTATTGTACAAATTATGCATCCACCACAGTCATAGAGTCAGAATCTGTCCCCAGAGAAGGAGAGCTCAAGGATGCCAGGTTAGTTAAGAGTTGCCCGTTGATGTATGTTGTACCTTCAGTTTCCTTTGGGGCACAGCCTCCCAGTCCACAGTTCGGAACCACCGATGTCGCTTCACATCATCTGCTCCATTCTTCAAGAGAAACATGCATCATCAGTGTACAGAATTTTGACAGGACGGGAGAAAATATATTCCAAAGAATCACTACATTTTTTAGTGTAGAAACAAAAAAAAAAAATTAGCTTGCTGTGTTTTGAGTAATTGTCCCTGGAGTGTGAGCTATTAGGAAAATCTCTGAATGAGGTTGTTTGTGTTTTGTTTGCCTTCCTTCATCGTAGAAACAAATCCAGTCATTACGCTCATGTGCACACTACTCTGGACCAAAAAGCAAAGTATAATTATGGTTCAGATCCTAGGCATAAAATCAGACAGATGCACAGCGATTCCCGAGTTTGTTACCTGTTTCCATCTTGACAATTTTCTTTGATATTTATTACCCTCATCTTACAGACATAGAAACTGAGGTACGCTAAATGATGTGATTTGCTCAGTATTGCCCAGCAAATAAATCACATGACTAGGACTCAAACTGAGGAAGTCCAACTTCAGAGATCTTCACCACCACCCAACATGACTTTCCAATTCACAATGTGTAGTAAGGTGTGTCTACTTCACTCTCAAGTGTTGGCGCCAATGGCTACCTGGCAGACATCACTACCATCATGACCTCTGAAAATTCCTCCCAAGTTTTCAGCCTTCAACTGCATACTTCTCCCTTTTTATTGTGCTTGTAGCAATTTTTTTGTAACCAATTAAATGTGAGGGAAAGTAGAAGATAGAAACATGTGACCTCTGTGATATAAGAGCCAGTGCATCTGAATTTATGGAAGTGTATCAATTCATATTTTTTAAAGTTGTAAATTTTTTGTCTTCAAAAAAAAATTATCAGTTGTCATAACTCCAAAAGAGAAAAAATAATGATGCCATATTTTTTTTTACTTTTTTCCAATTGTATTATTTTGACAACTTTTTCTTTTTCTAATGGAAAAAACTATTTTTCAACTACATCTAAGTTGAACAACAAATATCTGTTGAGCATTACTTTGAGGAATGCTGAGAGAAGGCAAATAAGACTTCAAGTTTACTCTAAAACAGATCAAACTCTAGTATGGATACTAAGGTATCGTGATAGCCAAATACCTAGATTATCTATATAGGATGCATAGATAGATAGATGATAGATAGATAGATAGATAGATAGAAAGATGGATGATGGAGATGGACGGATGGAAGAATGGTTGGATGGATAGGATGAAGATAGAGAGAGAGATGATAGAGAAAGATGTATGAAAGGATGGTTGGATGGTTGGTATGTGGATAGATAGATGGATAGATGATACATAGATACATAGATGGATGGATAGACAGACAGGTGATACACAGACAGAAGATAGACAGATTCAACTAATACAAGAGGAAGTGTAAGAGAAAGTGTTAGAAATTTTCCAAGTGTGGAGGACAGAGCAATGTTCATGAGGATGAAAGAGTTAAACACAATGGGTACGCTTCAGAAGGAGAACGAGAAACACTCCAAATGAAGAAGCACCAAGAGGAGAAAAACAGCAAGCTGTGACCATGAAAGGTATCTGGAGGGGTTACTAACCATCAAGGCTGGTGTTGAGAGTGTATCATGAATCCAGTGAAATGCAAGGTGAGAAATGTAGGATGGAGAGGCTGCTGAATGCCAACATAAGGCCCTTGGGCTCTCCACTATAAACAGCAGACCCTTTTTCATAGAGAGGTGAGAGAATTGATGGCAAAAGCCAACGATGGGGATGCGTGCAAACAGGAAGCTGCAACCACCACCCAGAATGCAGGGAGACACCCTGCCCAAGGACAGCGACACAGCACAGAAGGGAGAGATGGTCAGCCTTGGCGAAAGAACAATGTCCCCCTATGCTGGACCTGCCCTACCACTTACAACTCAGGAACACATTTTCACTTTAATTGGGCAGTTTCTTCAGCCTCTTCCAGCCAATCTCCACCTCAGGAAGCCCAATCCATACCCTAAGTCCTAGCTTGCATGTTTGTGAGTGTTGTTTCCAGATTCCGTTGACCAGAAAAGCTTGTTCTTCCCGATCCCAGGATACCTAGAGTGGTCACTACATGCAGGTCATCTGCGTTGTCCCTGAAGACCTGACAAAGGTCCCTGCTTCTTGCTGCACGTCCGTGGCGTTAAAACCAGACTCATCCACCCACACGAAGAGCTGTGGTGAGAACAAGCCCAGACCACGTCCCTGGATGGACAGGCTCAGATGAAAGCCCGGGGGCACCCAATGCCCTAGTCCTGAGCATCCTTCTCCACAAATCCAAACTTCTCTACATGGACTGGCTCGCTCCTCAGGGGTACAGGTATCTAAAGACAATAGAGGGCTGCTGGCTGGGAGCAGGTTACAGGCGAGCCAGCCTTCTGTACTTTGGTTCTGGTTGTGTGTGATAAATGAAGCATGCAACACTTAAATGTCAACAGAGCTTCATTTTTATGACGTCTTCTATTGGAAGCTGACACATAAGTGGATCGGGTGAGTATTAAGCCTAAAACGAATGTTGGGCTCAAAAAGAGGTTTTGGCACACAGAACATCCTGCCGTTAAGTTTTTAGCAGAACGTCCACTTGAAAGAAATAATGATTTCCTTTGTTCCTTCTAGGAAATAAACACAAATCATTATGTGTCGAACCATTATGTTGTGCACCTGACACTAATACAATGTTATATGTCAATGATATCTTAAGAGAAAGAGGGATGGTAGTGTCCTCCTTGGAGAAACAAATTTAAACAAAGGCAGTATTGAAAAAAATGCAAGTAACACAACTGAGTGATGACATAAAATTGTAGGAGCTGAGAGAAGCAGAGAAAATATAATTTATGGACTTTGGGTTCCTCATTTGAGGGGGAGGGGAGGGAGAGTCTTTCCAAAATCCCATAATCCCAGGCTAATCATGAGATAAACATTTGACAAATCCCAAAAGAGTGGAATTCTCCAAAATAACTGACCAGTCCTCAAACTATCGAGGGCCTCAGAAACATGGAAACTCTGAAAAACTGCCACGGCCGAGAGGAACCTACAGAGACAGGATGGTTAAATGCAGTGTGGGGTATGGGATGCGATTCTTGGAAAGAAAACCTAAGGACATGGAAATAAAGTGTGGACTTCAGTTAATAATGACATGTACACACTGGTTCATGAAGTGTGCCAGAGGTACCACACTCAAGATGTTCATAATAAGGGAAACTGGGTGTGAGCATATGGGAGCTCTCTGTACTATCTTCTCAGTTTTTCTCCAAATCTCAACCTCTTCTGAAACATAACGCCCATTAAAAAAAATAAGGTGAGGAAAGTGGGCTGGGAGCTTCTGAGCTTGGAGGTGCCCCCGTGCTATTATTCCACAGCCTTTATCACGCACACTCTGACATCGCATCGCAATATGATGTTGCTGGGTTCCTGGTTCCTCAAGTTACAGATTCACTACAACGGCTCCCATTGATGATACCATTTCTAACCGTGCAATGGAAAAAAAAGAAATGGCAAACGATGCCAGCAAGGTACTATCCTGAACCCTACCTCTGAGTCTAGCAAATAATTTTCGTACTATTTGTCCTAAAATGTCAGAAACCTTGGATGAACAGCCAATCCATATCACAGATTTGTTTCTTTCCCCAGGAATGGCCAATAAGTTAGCTTTTAATCCCCCGCTTAGAGACCTGAAGATCTTAGTCGGAATCCATGAATAATGTGAAGGACAAATCTGGCCACTGTTATGGACTGAACTGTGCCCCTCCCAAAAGACATGCTCAAGTCCTAACGCCCGGGAGCTGTGAATGTGACTTTACTTGCACACAGAGTCTTTGCAGATGTAATCAAGTTAAGATGAAGTCATTGGGTTAGGCTCCCAATCCAATGACAGATGTCTTCATCAGAGACAGAAGAGGAGAGACGCAGACACAGAGGAGCAGCCACGTGAGGATGGAGGCAGAGACGGGAGGGAGGCAGCCACCAGCCCGGGGACCCTGGAGACCCAGACACTGGAAGAGGCAGGAGGGACCATCCCTTGGAGCCTCCAGAGGGAACACGGCCCTGCGACACCTTCATCTCAGACTCCTGGTCTCCAGGACTAGGGGACGGGATAGATTTCTATGGTTTTAATCTCTCAGTTTGTGGTACTTTGGTACAGCAGTCACAGGAAACAAATATACCCACATAAAGAGAGGGACTCAAGAGGTCTGTGGGGATCAACTCTCGTCCATGGGTCTACTATGTCTCTCAAGACTACAACCGCGGGGCCAGCCCTGTGGCCGAGTGGTTAAGTTCATGCGCTCCACTTTGGTGGCCCAGGGTTTTGCCAGTTCGGATCCAGGGCACGGACATGGCACCACTCATCAAACCACGCTGAGGCAGCGTCCCACATGCCACAACTAGAAGGACCCACAACTAGAATATACGACTATGTACTGGGGGGATTTGGGGAGAAGAAGGAGGAAAAAAAAAAAAGAAAAGATTGACAACAGATGTTAGCTCAGGTGCCAATCTTTAAAAAAAAAAAAAAAAGACTACAGATGCCCACAGATTCTCTCAAATTCAGTGATGCCAAAACAGAACCGAAACGTGTGTCTAAGATATCATACCATTTATGCGACAGTCAGTCCCTTAAAAATATTTCCCTTCAAGTGAAAGTTTGTAAAAATCATACATGATGTACAACTTCTAAAATAATGATTAATTCACACACAAACGTGTACACCGTGTTTATAGCAGCACTCTTCATGAGAGCCAAAACGTGGAAACCACTCAAATGTCCATCAACAGATAACGGTAAACAAGATGTGGTCCATCCATATTATTCCCATAAGGGAATATTACTCAGCCATGAAAAGGAATGGAGTACTGACACATGCTACAACACGGATGAACCTTGAAAACATCATGCTGAATGAAAAGAAGTCAGACGTAAAAAAGTCACAGATCATACGATTCATGTATATGAAGGCCCAGAATAGGGAAATCTATAGAGATGGAAAGTGGATTAGTGGCTGCTTAGGGCAAGGAGCGACAGAAAGATAGGGGAGCGACAGCGTAAGGGTATGAGGGATCTTTCTGGTCATGAAAATGTTCTTCAAAATTGACTGTGGTGATGATTGCACAACTCTATTTGTAAATATATTAAAAGCCACCAGCCTGTACAATTTAAATGGGTAAACTGTGTGGTATGTGAGTTATATCCCAATAATGCCACTTAAAAAAATAAAATAAACAAAATAATAACTGACAAATCTCTGTGGAGTCACGTGCTTTTTTTGGAGAGAAGAGGAGAGGGGATTTAGATGCAGACCCAGTTTGATTCTGCAAGCCCAGAAACCCAGATGTGAAATTTGGCCAATGATTAAACACGCATGCCTTTGTTGGTAACTGCAAATTTGTGGTGTCAGATGACAGGAGCTTATAATGGATACCACTTACTATATACGGACACCAGCACTGACCTTCATGTTTCCCAGTCGTCTTGTTCTGTCAACAACAAGCAGCTTCCTAACGAGGTCTCTGTATGGGGGAAGGAGACAAAAACATGTTGATACGGAGCGGGCAAAGACAGCATGTCAACAGCAGTAAAACCCACCCACTACATATGCATCTGGCCAGCGGTTCAATTTTCATTTTGGCTAAACGTTTCCTAGCACTCGATTCTTACCGTTATCGGTTCGCAAATAATTTATGCAACACTGGGTTGTGCGCACACAGGGTCGGCGCTAAGGGGAAAAGGATGACTGAATCTTTCTACTGAAAAAGGCCTTTGAATACGAGCAAGAGAAATATGTGGCCCCCTCACCCACCCGCCGAGGATTGTGCCACTTAACTTGAAATATACCTGTCAGACTATTCCTGCCAAAAAGACGACGTCTGCTTTTACCAAAATAACCAGTCTCGCTCTGCCCTGGGGGGTATACTTATTTATGAGATTCTTGTTTTAGAAGGCTTGCTTCCTCATCAGTGCACAAATTATTGTGAGTCTTTTAAAGTCTGCTGGTTCACGTAGATATTCCTCCCAAATAATGGAGCGCGTCAGAATACAGCAAGGAGGTCCGACCAGGATGGGAAGTTTGAGATGAGTTTTAAGACCTCCAGAAGATAGGCTAGCTCTAAGAGTAGACGTTAAAGGGAGCAAAAAGTATAATGTGCGGGGGGGTGTGTTTATATACAACACATAAACTCTATTATGTATGATAATGTCCAGGCATTTCAAGTGTATATGGACGTCCCCCGGGACCGTCAACAACCCGTGACCCAGCTTTAAGCATCTAAGCTTTCCTGATGTAAACTATGTCCCGGGATGAGGAGAACAAACCCAGACTTAGTCCACGCCGTGGGCTCGGTGACCAGCTGGGAAGCTCAATGAGTCAGTGGACATCCTGAGCCCAGGGAGGCATATCTGAGGATGTAGGGACCCAAGGTCCCTCACGCCTAGACTGTGAATCAACCAGGTTCCTACTGATCTCAAACTTCGGCAAGGAACAGCTGTGACCACAGAGTTTCCCAACACTGCGCATCCTGAAGAAGGAGGGGAGAGCTTGTAGACTGGCCAGCGTCTCTGTCTCTAAGTGAAAATCCAAGAGGGAACACCGGCTCACTGGAGGCTCAGAGACTCTCGAGCAGGGCAGAGAAATACACGGGCACCGAAAACTTAGATATCTTTCCAGGACTTGCTGAGTTTCTCCTTCATTATTTTCGCATACCAAAAAAACAAAACGAGGTCGCCCAACACCACCCTCCCAAAACAACCCCAAATAAACGTGTATTTTCTTTTTTTTCCCTATTATCTACCCAGGAGTGCACACATTTGAAGTTCCCTGTACTGGGACTATAGAACAAAGGTTTATTTAAAACACAAAATCAAACCCTTACAAAGCAGCTTGGTCCTGAAAGCACAAAGTACAGATGAAAAGGGACCACTGAATATGGCAGAGCCACCCAGGAACTCTGGGACTGTGAGAGGGGTCCCCCACGCTGGGACGGGCTCTGTGTCCGCTGGCAACCCCTTGATTCACGTCAGCCGAAATTCTAAATCTTATTTACTATCCTGGTGCTGGCTGGCTTCTCTCGATCAGACACTTTCAGACAAGCAGAAACAGTTGTAAATACTAGTTCTACCAAGCTGGCAACAAGACCCAAAGCTTTTTTCTTCCTTTTCAATTACATATATTCCTATAAGGAATCTTAGTCTCTTTCCAAAGAGAAATGTTCCAACGCAACAAGTTGACATGGTCAAATGGTGAGGTTGTGTGAATCCAGAAATTGAGAGGCAACATTCTACCATCACGGCCACCCAATGACAGGAATCTGGATACGAAATGACTCATGAGGGTCCCGCTACTCAGTCAACTCGTTAAGATCTGGCCAATAATGGGAAGAAGGGACGTTTTACTCAACCACCGCTGGCAATCATCAACAGCATCAAAGAGTCGGAGATTTTCTGCTCTGGCTGAGCCCCCACAATGGGAATATGGGGGTCCCAGGGCAGGAGGAAAGGGCCCAGAGCTCCTCAGATGAGGAGGTCTTCAGACCAAAGGATTCCAGAGTGGCCACTGCTGGTTCTCGCTTCATAATAAAGATAAACGATGAGAAGTAGTGAGGGAGGTGGCCACAGACCAGACTTAATATAAGCTTCTGTTTGTTTTATTTCTATAATATCTTCTTTTCCATAAAACATTGGAAACCTACTCAGTATATTAATATGACTGCTCCATGCCCTTCTCATCAACGACTGAAAAAATGACCTAAGATGTTATAGGTCGTCCTTTCTCTGGGGAAACTGCTCTTGGAAGGGTTTAAGTTATTTCTCCTGAGAAAAGGGGGCATAAATCCAATGAGCTTTGGAATTGCCCAAGACCTTTAGGAGTCTACAGAACAAAGAGGCTGACTTCGAGAATGCATGAGACAGTTCATGCTTATTTCCCCTGAGGCAAGTGCATTAAGGGCAACACCTAAGTCACTCCCACCACAGAGTGGGTTCCACCAACAGGCATCTGTGCCAGGAACAATAGACGTTCATACCCTGTAGATTTACCCAGAATTCCAGGTGGTCTTAGGCGACCATCAAGCGACAGATCTGCCAATGCTGAGAAACATTCACCCTGACCTAACATCTGTTGCCAACCTTCCTCTCTTTTTTTTTTCTTTTCCTCCCCAAAGTCCCAGTACACAGTTGTATATTCTAGTTGTATGTCTTTCTAGTTCTTCTATGTGGGCCGCCACCACAGCATTCCTACTGACAGACTACCGGTGTGGTTCCACACGTGGGAAATGAACCCAGCTCACCAAAGCGGAGCACACCGAACTTTAACCCCTAGGGCATCAGGGCTGATGCAGGAGGAAATAAACTTTTGAGCGCTGTATCTTAACATTCGCTGCATAAGGTGCCCCTTCTAGATGACTTATTTTTTAAATGGAGCCTCCTTTCCTTGCTAAAATCTTTGAAAACCTGCGTGTCAAACACAACAGAAGCCAAGAGAAATACTGTCTTCCATTGGGACTGAGAGCATCTGGTTAGGGGGCATTCAGCACTAAGAAACGCAACTGGAAAAAGCCAGTGGCGCCAGTAACTGATCCGTTGTCATGAAATAAGTTTTCCCTGAACCCAATTTCCACTGGATACTTTTAAAAAATTTGCAAAGAAAAAGAGAAAATTTTAATTCTCAATTAAATGCATTTAACTTGATTTTTGTGATCCAATGAACTCATCTGGGAAATACACTGAAACAACTAGAAGTCTGGACTCCTTACGGTGCAAAATGGCTAAAAGGTGACCAGATCGACAAAAGTATCTGGAAAACCAAAAACATTCCTATATTTTTTAACTTAGTTTTTTTCCCCCTATTGCCTCAAATTTAAAGGAATGCAAACCCAAGGTTATGAATATTGAAGCAACGCTAAAGTTCCTGAAGTAACATGCTCATCACTCAACAGTTTAGCGTGAAAAAGGACTTGAAGAATGAGAATAGTTTAAGCAGAAAAGATGAATTCTGCTAAACCCATCAACACTTCTGCCCACTGCAAAACTTGCAGGAGGAGCGGGAGCCGATCCTTCTTGTCAAACCCCACAGCGGCTGTCTCACTGAATACGATAACACATGCCTTTATTTGCTAATTGTGAATATCACTTATCTCCAAAGGCATCAACTATGACCACGAGTCATTAAAAGGTAAAGAATCATCAAAACAGAAAACGAAAACCTTTCCCCTTTTTGTGGAAAAGATGACTACCCCAAAGAACTTGAGCACAGCCCGTGGACAGACACAGCTCAGCAGATGCTCTGACCGAGATTTTCAGATGGCTTAAAAATAAATAGACCCAATGAGGAAGGAAATGTTTTACTTACTTTACACTGAAATCCAAATGTCTCGGGAAATCGATTTTGCCTGCAAGAATTTTTTGATAAATGCCAAATGGGTTGTCATCAAAAAATGGAGGAAACCTGTTGGAAGAATAAACATCCGTTTTTAGTGGAGAGCAAGTATGGAAAAATCCCTTCTTCGTAACGATGACTATCTCTGCTAGACACAGGCAGATCAGTTTATTTCACACCCCTACTTTCCTCCCAGGCTGGAGTCACGGATGTCTTGGAGCCCACTGTGAAGGGATGGTCTTAAGAAGAAAAGCAGGAAGAGTCGCAGCCCACGAGACCCTCTGACCAACTCTCGTGGTTGCTGGCACAACATCAAATGTCACCTGCACCAGATCGCGAGTGAACTTCTTTGCATTCTTCACCTAAGTCACACTTAGGGAGGTGACACCAAGACTGGTTTCCAGCTTAGACCTTAGCACAAAGGTTTAGCCCAGGATTTGGCCCCCAGGTTGTTTTTGTAAATAAAGTTTTATTGGCACATGGCCATGCCCATTTGCTTGCTGTCTGTGGCATAGTCACCAGAAGTAAATATTATATTCCTGGTACAGAATGTCAACAGACTTATCTTTTCTAATGTCTAGACAATGAAAAAGAAATCTGAAATAAGCTAAGCTAAAGAAGAAATACACGTAAAACTGCAAAGGCCAAGAAAAATCTAGAAGTTGACCAATAAATTTATATACTAGCTACTTACATGTCCCTAGGCACAAATTATATCCTTGATATTTTCTCATTTTGTCCAAGGCAAAGACCCTCAACCCAAAAGCACCACCTCCAATTAGCTTATTTTGAACTAGATCTTCTCAGTGAAACAAGCAATGGCAATATCTTATAAAATGTTGTTTTCTAACGATACCCTGACTGATGATCGCAAATCTCAAGGAGCAAAAATAACTCTCCTGTTGATTCCAAATCAATTCCTGAAGTTTTTAAAGAAAAATTGAGCAGAGTGGGTAGATTAGTGGCCTCCAAAAAGATGTATCCATTTTCTTACCCCACAACTGGTGAATGGGACCAAATTTTAGAGTCTTTGCAGACGTGATGAAGTGAAGGATCTGAGATGAGGGCGTCCTGGAGGAGGTGGCCCTAAATCCAAGGACAGTGTCCTTACAAGAAACAGAAGAGGAGACACAGACACAGAGGAGAAGCCACATGAAGATGGAGGCAGAGACGGGAGGGAGGCGGCCACCAGCCCAGGGACACCTGGAGCCCCAGAAGCTGGAAGAGGCAGGAGGGACACTCCCCTGGAGCTTCTGGAGGGAGCGCGGCCCTGCGACACTTTGATTCCAGACATCTGGTATCCGTGACCAGGAGAGGATGAATTCCTGCTGTTTTTAAGCCACCATGTTTGTGACAATTTATTATGAAGGCCACAGGAAATCAATATACATAATATACATATTAACTCTGCAAATATATTAAGTATAAGGGAGAGTAGAAAAATATAAAAAACTAAAAAACAGAAATACAAAGTACAAAAGCAGAAATTGGGGGCCGGTCCCGTGGCTGAGTGGTTAAGGTTCCACATGCTCCGCTTAGGTGGCCCAGGTTCATGGGTTGGGATCCCGGGTGCGGACCGACTGCACTCATCAGCCGTGTTGTGGAGGAATCCCTCATACAAAGTAGAGGAAGAGTGGCACAAGTGTTAGCTCAGGGCTAATCTTCCTCAACAAAGAAAAAGAGAGGAAGATTGGCAATGGATGTTAGCTCAGGGTTAATCTTCCTCACCAACAAAAAAAGGTAGAAATGACTGGGAGAGTTGAAGGAGAAGAAGAGGTAGGTTAATCGGAAAAACGGAAGATATTAAATAAATGTAAATGCGGCTGCGTGCGAGATGGCATCAAACCCCTTTTTTTTTTCCTTAAATGACATTTCAGTTCCTCAGTTTTACACTTTGGCATGACTAGAGACACAGTGTTGAGAAAGCAACAGCTGTCTCTCTGTGAGCCATTGGTTATTAAGATCTCATAACTACAACAATTCAGCCATTTGTGCTTCTAGAGTTACAAGCCACCATGTCTTGAGCAGCAACCCAGGCCAGGCTCAGCAGTGAAGGTCTGTGCGTTGACACGCATCCCACTCTCGCCAACTGTGAAGGCTGTAGTTAATGACTCCACGTCAGCCCTTCCTCCACTGCCAGACACTTTCTCTAACAATGTTTGGGGGAGTCATAGTCCTCTTTCTTGGGTGGCAGCCCTGAGTACATTCAGCTGTGTGATTTCATCGGGGAAAGGTCCATGTTCACAAATGGAGCACTAACCACCAGGAGAAAATGTGTCATGCATACCTACAAACATTTATGGAGAATATTAAACTTGTGTTCTCGGGAGGCTGGCATTACGTGACCATATCATGGGAAAGGTATGTCAGCAGAAGTTTAACGAGTGGAAAAAATAATAAATGAGCATTCACAGATCCTGCCCGAAGGAAAACGCAGGGAGAACACAAATCCGAGAGGCAGGACTCCCACTGCATGTGCAAAGTGCCCTAGGAATTTCTCAAATCTCTGTCCGTAAGCCTACAAAATACTTCCAATTCTCAAGAAACAGGCAGCGAGGGCTCATTATGCGGAATCAGGCGTTAGAGGTGACGTAAAGTTAGCTGTGGTGAGAGCTGTAATCAAAAGGACACGCTTGGCGTGAAGGCAGCCTCAAGAATTTCACCTTAGTTCACGCCAATTCTGCCATTTTGCCCACCATCCACCCATGATCACTTTTATACAACCCTTCTTCCCACCTAAATCTTGCAGTAAAAGATGGTCCAGAAAGAGGTGCCATAGTTGTTGCAACTTCATGCTCTTCATCAGACTCGCAGAGAACCCCGTTAGAAAAACACGGTCCTAAACTATCAGCCAAAACGTCATCTGCTCAACATTTTAACAGGGGGCTGGCCTGGGAAGGCGGGTCCTTTAGAAATGGGTTCACGCGAAAGAAAAAAAGAGTTTTTGGAGAGAGAAGAGAAGGGGGGGGGGCTGCTATAATTTCACCCTGTTTTGACTTCTTCCTCAAAGATCCCTTGCTCTGATACGCTTGGATGAAACAGAAAATCTCTGTTCTTCAGAAAAAGTGCCAAAAGCAACAAGCTGGGCGATGCACGGGTTGGGGGCAAAGTGTAATGAAAGAAAGAGCCCTAGAGGCCTGTCTGAGGCAGGACAGCCACGATTCTTAACTTGGGGTCCCAGGGGACCCCATGGTTCCTCAAGGCCTTTGCAAGAACTTGTGAGTTCCTTTTTCTGACTACAACTCTGAATGCCGTTGCATTTTCTTCATAAACCTCAACCAAAACAACATATCACAGCAGACGGTGCAGAAAACGAGGAAAATCCAGGTGCCTTGGATTAAGCTGGGGGTTAAAGAGATTAGCAAAATGTAAAACAAGGTTATTCTTCTCTCTAGGTGCTTTTTATTCTAGGAAGCATAGCTATTTTTTCATTAAAATTTCGATTTAGCTTAATCTTTCATCAGTTTATTATTTTATATAAATTCATGTACATATTTTTAATTTCAGTTTTGACTTCAAATGCAGTAAATATTGACAGATACAACCTGCACAGACAAAAGCTCTTTGGGGTTGATAATAACTTTTAGGAGTGTTCATAACTTTTAGGAACGTGATAACTTGTGGGAGAGATGGTTGTTGAAAATGTTTAGGGTCAGTCCTTAGGCCAAAAGGTTTGCAAATGCACTGCACTGCAGTTAACGTTCCACATGCATGAGACTGCAAACGCACACCCCACCTTCCACAGAAACAGGTCTGTGCCACTGAACTCTCCAGAGAGAGAGATGTGAACGGGGATGAGGACGAAAGAAACCACAGCTGAGCTTGGAGCTACTGAAAAAGCCTATGAGTGATTCTGTTCCAGAAGGTACCATGCATGTTTTATCTGACCTAAACATTTCTCACTCAATGAAAATAAAATGCCAGTTATGAGATGATCTCCCACCAAAATCACATGGAAGGTTTTACCCAACAAATGGTTTTTCTTGTACCCCATGAAAGATTTAAAGGACCAATTAAAGGAATAAACAGTCTGTTGCTTGATCCTGCAGAGGATGCGAATACAGAAAATGGAAATCTAATAAGCAAGATGGAGACAAGAGGACTTTGCCCAACAGGCATAGCAACCCCGTCCAGTCGGCCACCAGAAGTCTCTGGGCTCAAGGGGGCGAGACGGGCAGGTTGGGTCCAGTGGTCTCGTGCAGTCAAGACACACCACCTGATGGTTGCAGATTCTGATAAGTGCTGTAAAGAAAACAGAAGGAGTGGAGGGGCAGAGCAGGGTCCAGCCAGGGGGACGACCTACAGGAGCCTTGTAGGCAGGGGAAAGGCTAATGCCTCCTGGCATGAATGAGAGACAGCAGGGCGGCCAGTGATCCCAGGGGAGGGCCAGGCCACAGTCTGAGGTACTGCAAAGGTGAGCTTACTGTGCTTTGGGTTAGGAGGGGGTTTTAGTTATTCATGATCAATTATTCTAATAATAGAGCCTAATAATATATCAGATTCTAATTACATCATTTTCTACTATACTGCATTCTAAATTCTAATACAGTCTAATAATATTTAAATAATTCTAATAATGATTTATATATAATCTTAATATAATAATTCTAATATATGCTAATAACCTGTTCTAATTCTATTCTAATAACTCTATTCTATCAATATTATATTCTAATAGTATATTAGGCCCCAATATTGTGTTTACCAATAAGATTCCATATTATTTTATTCTATAATATTATATTCTACCCTAATAATAAAGAGAAAACATAGGACACGTGGGCCTCATTCTGTTTTAAATCACCAGACACCAGGATTCAATTCTCCTCAGACAATACTGTCCTCTTGTGGTCAAATCATATTACAGAAAGAAAATGTGCTGTAGGTATCATAGCAGAAACTGATCTGTATGGGTGTATAAATAGTTACAACTGTTGTATCTTCTCCATGGATTGATCTGATGTGTAATTTCTTTTAACCTTTGATGGGCTTGGGACTTCCTGAGCTAGGGTGTATATTAAGATGTGAACTACTGGAGACATTTGGGTAAAGAGTAATAGAAAATTCAGAATAGATGATAGACTGATTGACAGATATAGACAGACAGATGACAGAGGATACATAGATAGATGATAAATAGAGATGATAGATGGATAATTGATAGATGGATGATACACAGATAGAAGATTATTATATAGATAAAAGATAGCTAAGAAGATAGACGATAGGTAGGTAGATAGATGAGAGAACAAGGACAGATATAGACAAATGATAGATAAGCAGAGACAGAGATGATAGGTAGGTAGATAGATGACAGAGGTGATAGATGGATGATAGGCAGATAGATAGATGGATGATAGAGGATAGATATAGATAAACAACAGATAGATAAGTGGAGAGAGAGATGATAGGTAGGTAGATAGATGACAGAGATGGCAGATGGATGACTGACAGACAAACACGTCAACACAGGTTTTCACAGATGCCACTCTGGCTGGCCACAGCCTCAATGCAGAAGAATGACTCCCTCTTTCTTTCCACCTGAAACCAAGGAAGGTTTCTGGGTAAAAACCTCTAGACTCGCCCTGCAGGAAATGAGACAGGTGGAACAGGATGTGGCTTTTCCTACAACTGGGAGTAAACTCACAGTGTCTGCAAGACTCACCAGCAGGAAACACACAAGCTGAAGAAGGATGGACAAAGGGAAGAGGAGAGAGGGCAGAAGGAGGCCGAGGCGTGGCCAAGTGCCCCCGGCAACTGTCCTGGGCACCTCGCCGGCCAGCTGCCTGTCGGCCACACCACCAGAGAGAAGAGCCTTTAGCTCAGAGAGAGCCGCGCAGTAGAATATTTACTCGTGGGTGCACACATCCACAGCTCCCTTGTTTCTAGAGGCTGTCATTGGGTAAAGTGGCACAGTGCTTCATCGTCTCAGGAAATTCCAGTCAGGAGAACATACATGAAACATCTAATAACAGGATGAGGGTGAACCCCAACTCCGAGACTTCTAAGAGGGGGATGCTTGCTTTACATTCCTGGTAGAGGAAAATCAGACTTGTCTCATGCCTCAGGCGCACTTGAACATTTAACGTGATGCTTTGACAATCGGTCCACCTCTTTGGTATCTGGACGCGGAGAAGATGTGACCTTCCAAATCTTGTCCAACCCAAGTTTGGGATGTCAGGAGAGCACACACTCTTTCCTTCCTGGCACGCTGCTTGTTCGTAAAGTCCTAATTTATTTATCCTTCTGCAACATGTACATTACTCAGCTCTGCAAGTTACTCCAAAAAGAGTCCATGCAGAAGACAAATATATTCAAGGAAGATGGAGACATGTAGAGACAGGAGAAGGATCTCAACAGACGTGCACTGTAGTTTCTGCAATAAGTCTGTGTTTTTACTCTCATGAAAGCAAGCTTAAGTGTCGGTTTGCATTGCCCTGGGACCACACCCCAAGTGTCTGCAACCCCAGTGCACAGTCCCAGGAGTTCACAAAGGCAGGGCGAGTGAGCAGGGGAGGGAAGCACTGGGGAGTAAGTGGTGATTCTCCACGGAAGCCCTACTCACCCCGAGAGCATCTCAAATATCAGGATGCCGAGCGCCCACCAGTCCACGGCTCTCCCGTGGCCTTTGCTCTGGATGACTTCGGGGGCCAGGTACTCGGGTGTTCCACAAAGGGTCCACGTCCTGCGGACAGAGAAGGGAATGCAGAAAATTCAGCTGTGCTTGACGAACACATTACTCTTAAAAGAAGCTGAATCTTACAGTAACTTAGTTGACCAAAATGATGCACGTCCCCCACCCCGTGGATACACTGTAGGGGATAAAGAGAGTAACATTGTCTTAGCAACACTGTCTTAGTAACATTTAGTAACATTGTCTAACTTGTTCCCATCTAAACACTCATTAACACAAATAGAATCTAAGTCAGTCTTGTTATCATTGCTGCCCATTGTTATTGTTTACCCTTGTTACTCAGAAGCAAAAAATCCACAGGACCTGTCTTCCTACAAAATAACATTAAAAAGAACAAGTCAAGAATTCACTCATCAACCCCATCTCAGTGCGCCCCCGAAGAATGCACCTGTCTGCTCCTTGTGTCTAAATAAGCTAGGTCTGTCCTACGGCAGGGAATTGACAGCTACTGCTAGTGGTCTTTTCCACCTGCTCTTCAAAAGGTCTGGCGTGTTTTCAATGCTTTTGTGGGTTTGCGGTCATTTTAGTTTCATCAGTGGCTTTTGGAAATCCTTAGGTTAAGGGACAATGGGATCTTTGGGGTTTAAACAAGGCAGAGAGCTTTGGAAAGGATTTTCTCTGCTGACGAAGCGACACTTGCAAAAAAATTAGCTTTGAGCCCCACCTAGAGGAAGCAAGGATTCTGACCAGCCCAGCTGGACCGTGCACGAATGGTGGAACTTTCTGGTTGTCTGGTTTGTTGGTTTTGATTCCGGTCATCTCTTCCTGTGCTGCCTCAGATCTCTCTTTGTCATAACAAGTGGGGGAAGGAGTTCCTTTACTCTTCTCCTTAGAAGAGAATTCTATTTACACTTAAAAAGAACCACAATGTTTCATTAAAATCTATAGATTTGGACAGTCTCTGCTGACATCTCTAAATTTTATGCTCTACGGAAAATGCAAGACCATTTTTATTTTCTAATTTTCCTCAAAAAATTAATAATAGAATTACCGTATGAACCAGCCACTGCACTTCTGGGCATATATCCAAAGGAAATGAAAACAGCATCTCAAAGAGGTACCTGAAGCCCCATGTTCATTGCAGCGTTATTCACAATTGCCAAAACATCAAAACAACCTAAGTGTCCATGGATGGATGAACGGATAAAAATGTGGGCTATATATACAGTGGAATATTATTCAGCCATGAGAAGGAAGGAAATCCTGCCACTGGCAACACCATGGATGGACCTAGAGGACGTTACACTTAGTGAGATAAGCCAGACAAAGGCAGATACTGTAAGATCTCACTTACACGTGGAATCTAAAATAGTAAAACTCATAGAAACAGAGAGCAGAAACAGGCTAGGGGAGGGGGGAGTGGGGAGAGGTTGGTCAAATGGTACAGACTTTCAGTTATAAGATGAATTAGTTGTGGGATCCTAACGTACAGCAAGGTGACTATAGTTAATAGCTAATATGGTATTACATACTTGAAATTTGCTGAGAGAGTTGATCTTAAGTGTTCTCACCATCAAAAAGAGAATGGTAACTATGTCAAGTGACGGACATGCTAACTAATTTGATTGTGGTGATGACCTAACAATGTATATTAAATCATCACACTATAATCTTTAAAAAAACCACATTGTAGGGGCTGGCCCCGTGGCCGAGTGGTTGGGTTCGCGTGCTCGGCTACAGGCGGCTGTGTTTCGTTGGTTCGAATCCTGGGCGTGGACATGGCATTGTTCGTCAAACCACGGTGAGGCAGCGTCCCACAATGCCACAACTAGAAGGACCCACAACGAAGAATATACAACTATGTAGAGCCTTTGGGCGGAGCATAGCCCTGCCAACACCTTGACGTTAGGCTTCTGGCTGCCAGAACTATGAGACCATAACGTCCTCTTGTTCTAAACCCCTTAGTTTGGGGTACTTTGTTATGGCAGCCCCAGGAAATGAACACACCCCCATGTCTGTCACATCACGTGGGCCACTCACACAATTACACTTTACTTCTAAGCACCTGGGGTCTTCACACTCCCTGGTGTGTATTATAAATTGTGTTGTGTAATGGAATACAAGCTAAAGGATGGCATGAGAGGAAAAACGTCTGAAAATACCACTTTGGGGGTCAAGAAAATTGCGATAATGATGTCCACACTTGTCTCTTTAAAGACTTTGAGTACCCACTCATGTGCTAAGATTGTGAGAGTATGCTAGGTCACTAAGATGGGCAGTAACAGGTCAGACAGAGGGTGTGACGGGGTTTCCGTGAGTAAGAACTTGGGGTCCTCCTTGTGACTTTGCCCCCTGATCAGCAAGAAAAAAAGGAGTTAAAAGTGCAGAGACAACCACTTCACACTCATTAGAAAGGCTACTATCAAAAAAACAGAAAACAACAAGTGTTGGTGAAGATGTAGGTAATTGGAACCCTCGTGCACTGTTGGTGGGAATGTAAAACGGGGCAGCCACTGTGGAAAATGGTACAGAGGTTCCTCAAAAATTAAACATAGAAACACCATAGGATACAGCAATTCCACTCCTAGGTATACACCCAAAAGAAATGAAAGAACTTGAAGATATATTTGTACACACATATGCATAGCAGGATTATTCTCAAGAGCCAACAGGTGGATGCCAACACACGTGTCCATCAATAGATGAATGGACACAGAAACTGTGATCTATCCAAATGATGAGATATTTCTTCAGCCTTAAAAAAGCAGGAAATGCTGACACCTGCTGCAACATGGATGAACCCTCAGGACATCATGCTCAATGAAACAAGCCAGTCACAAAAGGACAAATACTCTAAGATTCTAGTCATAGGAGGTCCGCAGAGGAGTCAAACCCAGAGACAGAAAGTAGACGGTGGGTGCCAGGGGCTGAGGGAGGGGGATGGGGAGTGAGTGTTTAATGGAGACAGAGTTTCAGTTTGGGAAGATGAGAAAGTTCTGGAGATGGATGGTGGGGATGGTTGCACAACACTGTGAATGTGCTTCATGCCACTGAACTGTGCACTTAAAAATGATTAAGATGGTAAATTTTGTTATATCTATTTTGCTACAATTAAAATTCTCAAAAGTACAGAGATAGAAGTGGAAGGAGCAGGGTGCCCCCCATGGAAGGAAGGTGCAGGAAGAAGTGTCTGATGAACAGAAGTCAAGGTAAGGTGACAAGGACCTAAGGAGAGGTTGGACAAAGGGTTGCTTTGGAAGGGATCCGGGAATCTGTAACCCTAGATAGAGAGCTGTGCCCAAGCTGTATCCAGCTGGTGCTCTACTGCCAGGTAGAATGTCACTTGGGGCTCTTCACTTAGCAATTCCGACCTCAAGCTCACCTCCAGACCACACCTGCCCGTCTTGCTAAATGTTGCACTTGTGTTTGGCGCCTGTCTCTAGACAAAAGAAGTGGCTCCTTAGGAGAGGAAAAAAATATAGATACTTTGTAAATGACTCCTCCAAAAAGCCATGCGATGATAGAAGTATTGATAGAAGAATCTCTATTTTGCAGATTTAACATAGAGAAAACAAAAAGGTACTTCAATATAGTCTGCTAATGGGTACATCTAGCCACTCGGCACTTCCTTTGCGCATCACACCAAGCGTGCACCAAGCCTGTTTTATAAGCAGCACATTTGGTCCCAGCCCCCCCAGGACTGATGGCATGACGGGGATCTTGGCTTAGGCCCCTCAGCTCCTCCCACAAACCCACCCAAAGGTCCTCTTGGGTCTCTCTCTCTGCTTCCTTCCCCTGTGACACCTCCCTATTCCCAACCTCCAACTCTTTTTTTCACATAACAGACTCTTTCCTATTTCCCCGTAACCCCCTGTGATAAAAACAAACTGCGATCAAAATTTCAAATCCTGTTGAAGGAACGGGGTCACGTTACCCCGGCTCAGACAGAGACTTTGCAGTCCCTGGAATGGGCAGTCTGGCAAGCAGCCGGGAATGAAGGTACGGCGGGGAAGCAAATACAAGGAAGGAAAGGAGGGAGGGAGACCCGGTTCCTCTTAACGCAGAGTAAAGTAGGAGGGGCTTACTCTACCAGCTGCTCAGTTCAAGTTAGAGCCAATCATGGTCCACGGAACCACCTGGGGGTCCAATGGGGCGCTTCTCATTCCCTAGACTTAAGTCTAAGGACTGAGTTGGATGCAGGCTATTTTAGAAACATCCCTTCTCCCCGCCACGTCCAACAGAGTTAACCTTGGTTGCTTTGGCTCATGACACTGTAATTCTGCAGAACAATCAACTTATTAGCCCATTAATGCTGGCTTTCCAGGCTGGTAGCACATGCAAGGTCGCCTGAAGGTCGCTTGGAAGCCTAGCTCTTAGCTGATCTAAGACCACGTGGAGGTGGTGGCAGGTAACTGTACACGCATCAGGGGCAGCATCTCCTCTTGCATCTGGAAATGGGAGTCTCTTTTCGGCTCCATCCTAGTAAGGGGCACAGATCAAAGGCTGTGTAAATTTCCAGTTTCTAAGTAGCCTCAGGCAGCCTGACACCTCGAGAGTAAAAGCTTCCTAGAAAAAGCCCCAATGCTTCCTGGATGTATAGAGGCATTGATTGCTATAGAGGTTCAGGCTGTGGTAAATATGCTAAGACAAGATGGAGAGCCCTGTGTGTTATTCTGAGACTGCTGGTCCAGGCTGTGAATTATTCATGCCTCTGGTCTTATCTCCTTTTGCTCACTTGGCTCTTGGAGAGAAGGCAAGGTAACACCTGTCGTTCTCAGTTTCCTCTGTTATCAGTTCCACTACGGCGGGGCGTAGGAGGCTGTGTTAACCAAGGAGAGACAGGACGCTCTGTACAATACAGAATCAAATGTTCATGTGTTCTTAATCCCCTACTGCCTTCTGTGGCATCCTACTGGGGTGAATGTGTTCCCTCCAAAGTCCTAAATCCCAATGCCTGTGAATGGGATCTGATTTGGAAATAAGATCTTGCTGATGTCAACAAGTTAAGATGAGGTCATACTGGATTAAGACAGGACTAATCCAATGACTGG